TCCACGAGCAATAAAAGAAAATAGAAAGTACTTGTTCATGTCTTGACAGTCTTCAATTATCATAAATTCAAATGTTTCAATGTCACATAGCAAAAGGTGATTATTATTTTGGTAGTAATTTGGAAAGTTTAAACCTAAATTGTGTTGGACCACGCGATCTAATTATATAGTTAAATATCTTGTTACTCGTAAACTTCCAGAGCATTGGAGTACGCAAGATAGAACCAGGTTTTTAATTGAATTCTTTTGGGATGATCCTTATTTATTTTAGTATTGTGCCGATCAAATTATAAGTCGATGCATTCTTGAAAGTGAATTTCGAAGTGATGTATCTTTTAATAATAACCAAGCTTGTGTAGACCATTTTAGTGCTAAAAAAATAAAAAATAAAAAAATCGCCAAACCCAATACTTGCGAGACCCCATCTGATTATCTGCTTAATTGGGTATATTCAGGTGGGGGATGGGGTAGATTTCGCACTGTAGTGGGTATGGGAATGGGTAACAAGGGCCCCGTCCCCATTTATTTTATTTTATTGAAGAATTCAATATTTTAAATGAAAAATTCCACAAAATTTTAATAGTTCTAATAAAAGATGGTAACTAAGATTATCTTAGTAATATGACAAATAATAAAAATCTTAGTTTACCAAATATATTTGAATAAATAGATAACAAGGTGAGAAATTACTATGCGGGCCAAGGGTGGGGAAGGTTGCCTCGACCCGGATCCATCTCATTGCCATCCCTAAAGACTACTGCAAAAATTTTGCAATATGGTTTTATTGACCTACTCTTTTTCCTTTTTTATGCATTTTGTTCTTGATATAGGTACCAACGCATGGGAAGCATTCCAAAGAGAAACGTGATGCCTCTCAACCCTATTCTTGTGGTTGAGATCTTTGGTATAGATTTCATGGGACTTTTTTTACCATCATTTGGCTATCAATACACATTGGTTGGAGTTTATTATGTTTCGAAGTGGATCAAGGCAATTCCATGTAGGACCAATGATCATGAAAGAGTAAACTCTTTTTTGAAGAACAACATTCTATCTCGCTTTGTCACTACATGGGCCATAATTATAGATGGTGGTGGTTCTCATTTTTGTAATAAGCCTTTTAAGACTCTTCTGGCTAAGTAATCCAGGAGACACAAGTTTGCTATTCCATATCATCCACTAACTAGATCAGATGGAGACTTCAATATGACAGATAAAGCAAATTTCGGAAAAGAGAGTTTGACCGAATGGGAAAGATCGATGTGTCGACTTACTGATATGTTGTGAGCATATAGAACCGCTTTTTATAAGGCCAATTGGGATGTCCCCTCATAGAATTGTGTATGGAAAAGCTTATCACCTATCGATCAGTGGAGCTGGAGCGTCATGATATACACAGTGCTGAGTCATAGAAAATTTTAGCTGGCGAAACTTGAATAAAGGATTTTTGGTGGACTATTTTCCATAGAGATACAAAATCACCATAATGAAAACCTGTAGTGTCGAGTGGATGTGTTTTTCACAATATTTCGGTGAACCATAATGAATGTGTTCTTTGACCCTTTTTTTGATTGTTTTGTGTTTATTGTCTTTCTCAAAGTAAAAATTAGGTCTTAATTATGTAGTGGGTGGCGATTGCATACACAACAAATATGGCCAAGCTGTAATGTGCTTCTGATCATCACATCATAATGAGCATTTAATTCTATTAACACAAATTCTACATATAATAATATCAGATGCAGAGTTTGTATGAAACATGTTGGCCAGTGGACAATTATAAAATCTGAGATAAAATGAAGTCTTCACTATTCTTATTTTATCACTACATTAATTTAATTTACATGTCACTTAGATAGTAGAAACCTAAATTATGATTTTTAAGAGTCTTCTGATGAAGTTTAACCTGTCTTAATTACGACAATGTGTGCTTTTAACCTAATATGTAATATTAGTTAACGACAATGTTGCGACGATTAGGAGTATGATCCAAAGTCGGTCCTGAGGAGAGGCAAATGAGGTTCTCGCCTCAGGCCCAAAATCATAAGGGGCCTTATTTTAACCTAGATTTTTTTCCCCCCAAAATAAGGCCAAACAGCCTAGATCCAATGATGTGGGATTTGATATAAATTTATTGAAGACAATCTAAAATGGTTAAATTTGGGGTTTATTTTCTTGAAAATGGTGTGGGATTTGATGCATTTTATAAATGGGTTTCTATAAATAATCATTTCGTTGTCTTATTTTTGTACGAAAACTTTGTGAAGATAGATATTTATGTGATCGTAATTGTTGAATCCATGTCATTGTCTTATTTTTGTACAAAAACTTTGTGAAAATATTAGTACATTTTACAATTCTTTCATTCTAGATTTGCTGTAAAAGGGACAGAAAATCGTATTTTAATATATATGTATATTTTTTGTTTAATTTTAGTTGATAATAAATCTTTAGTCAATTATGCCAATTTCTTAATCTACACTTCCACACTTGGCACAAGTTCCTTCACTTTATGATTAAATCTTTGGCTTTGTTATTTTATAATATAGATCATTTCTATAATATATTTGGTTGTTGTTTAAATATTAGTTTCAAGTTAGCAATAGGTCGCATAATACACTGCTGAATTTTGTATTTACGTTGATTTTGTTGGGAGCCTAATTTGTGGAATTTGCCTCGGGCCTCGATGTTCACAGGATCGGCCTTGGTATGATCAATTTGTTATATTTCTCTGACAATTGCTACCAATTATCGTTTGCTATAATTTATATTCTTCTAATGATTTTAACCAAAATAAGTTTCCAATGCACAGGAAGAATTTGTTTGCCTAATCACGAGGATATGACGATACTCAAAGTAATCAGAACAAAATATACGGATTCCATATCAATATATTAATTGAGTGATCAATTTTTTGAATATTAGTTTCTAATTTTCAATTAGAGGTATCGATTAGGCTTCAGAGAAAATTAGATATTATTCAAAAATTAAGGATCATTTAAATGTAGAAAGAGCGAAACAAGGTGAATTTTGAGATACTATAGAAGCAATATCGAAGGGATGCATTGCTGAGATACTATACCACCAATAATGCAGAAGTAACATAAAAAAGATGGACACACTTACAATCTGTCATTTAATTTTCATTTCACAAGAAAATTTATCTTCCATAATTTTCTCATTCATTTTCTTTTTTTCCTTTTCATAAGGGAACAGAAGCTCTAATCCTGTACCAATTTGTCTACTATGCTTCTATACTATTTAGTGATAATTAATTTCATTAATCAACTTAAAAAAAATAAATAAAAACGAACTTAACTTCTCTAACCACAATTAGGCCCCTCTTTCTTTTAGACATAAATCAATTTTTTAGTAAATTTTGATAAAAGTTGATGACATGTGTGATTGAAAAATTGTTGACCTTATGAAATATGCGATTAAAATTAATTATTTATTTTGACTTAGATTTTGATCTAATATTTTAGCTAAACTAAAGGGCTAAGTATGTTTGCTAATCTTCATAATTGAATTTGTTCAAACTTGAATGCATAAGACATTTTTCAATATTACTTAAACTGATCTTATAATTAGAAAAATGATATGATGAGCATCAGTGTTCATATTATGCTAAGCATCGATTACTTGATGTAATAACCAATAGATAATAAATTCAAGGTGGATCTCAAGATTTGAATTAAATTTATTATCCACCAATAAATCGATATATCAATGTGCTTAGCATAAGTTGAGCACTAATGCTAATTAAATCATCTCTCTTTATAATTAGGGCATGTTAAATCCAACATGACTAAAAATTATTTTTTCTTCTATATTAATTTTATTGAGTATTAGTTAGTCAAGTTTACGAAACCTGTTAACCAAATCATTACATAATTTCTGTGTGATGTGCCTTGCACATAAGTTACAAAAATAAATAAATAAATAAAAATATAAACAAAATAATAATGAAAAAAATGGTAATATATTTCTCTTATTCTTCTTCCTCTTCCTTCCTCATTTTATAATATTGACAGCTGTTACACTGCATAAAGATGTTCAAAATAAATTAAATAATTTCAACAGAGTTCGCCAACTTTGCAGTTGATTGCACCGGCGTATCGTGTGAGCCGGCCAGCATATGATCCCGGCCTGAATTTCATCATATTCTTATGTTTCAAATTCAGTGGATACATTATCGTGTGCTTAATTGGTGGCCCTGACTCAACAAAGTAGGCTCCATTTAGAAACTTGTCTCCCTCCGATCTCCATTGCCATTTCATCCACTCACTCTCCTCAGCTTCTTGCCTCTTTGTCACCTATTTATTTCATACATCAAAAGTAATAGAATGATTCTCGACAATGTGTAAGCCAATGTACATGCAGTGTGCATTTAGTATACGGAGTTATATAAGATTTGGACAATACAATAAATAAGATTTTTGTTTCTTTTTCTTCCTTAATGTTGGAATGGACTTGGAGCTGAAAATTTTACAATCTATTACCTGCTTGGTGAAAGGATGATTTGAGGCCCTGAATCTGTTGCCTTGGCTGATAATGGTGGGATGGGAGCTGCCGCCAATGGCGTACATTTGCCACTGAGAATAGTCATTATTGACGATATGGAAGAACCCCCATCGACACCTCGGCATCCTTTGAATCAAACCCTTTCCAAAACGATTAAATGCAACTGTAGTCTGCATGATTACATCTCTACCGTGTTCATCATTTGCGCCTAACAGCATTACCTGCCTCATGTATACGAAACATTATCCTATAAATCTTAATTAAGCTACCAGAAAATGAGATGTCATGGATCACGACAACGCCCCTGTCTGTCTCCCTTTTTTTCAAAACTTTTTTTTTTTTTTTCACAAACTTGTTTTTAATCACACATTCACATAACAAAATAATTTACACAAAATAATTTACACGTAAATTCAATTTTTTTCCCACTATTTCAAAACTCATTTTCTCCCGGAAACTCTCTAAAAAGGGAGACAGATAGAGGCTAAGTTTTTAATGTGATAGTCTAACATAGAATATAAAAAGATAATTTTAAGTTCACGTTTCACAGCCCTCCATTAAATGGAAATAATCTATGTTTAAAGCATATAATTTATCTAGGAAAAGCATGTTTTAAGTAAAGTGGTTGGTTCAACTTACATCATCATGATTATTGAATTTGCAATTGGAGATAGTAATAGCTGTTGAAGCCATGATAGCATCAATGAGGCCATCAGTACACTTTGACAAAGAAACATGGTCAATCCAAATATTGCTTGCTCCAAACACGGAAATCCCATCTCCATCACTTCTTGCCCGAAGCCCAAAATGATCAGCTGAATCCCTGATTAAGCCACCAGGTGCAGGAACAATATGATGAATTTTAATATTGTGGATTATAATATTCTTCACAAATTGGAGAGTAATTCCAGCCCCATGGGCAATATGGACTTCTACTCCTCTACCGTCAATTGTCTTGTTACTAGTGAAAATGAGTTCTTGTTGGAGTCTGATAACCATACTGTGTTTAAAGATTATCCATAATGGCACATCTTGAATCACTGCATGGCGAAGGGTACCAGGTTTAGGGTTCTGCATATCGTCGTCCGAAGGATTGTTGACAACATAATAAAGCCCATCTCTCCCACCGGTCGTGTGGCGGCCGAAACCCTGAGCGCAATCTGCTAGCCTTTTTCTGTTTCTAGCCCAGTTAGGATCGCACCTCCAGCATCTATCAATGGGATTTGTTGCCTTGCAGTCACCTTCTTTTAGGTGCCTCCTTGTGACATTTCCATGTATCAATACCCTACATGACAGAAATGATTTTTAAAACCCATAAAAATAATAATGTTGAAAATTTTGAACAAGAATATATATTGCAAGGAAATTTAATTTGTGAACCAGGACTTAATCACAATAATTTTACTTGAAAACTCAGAAACAGAAATAAAATACCTGAGCGACAGAGGTTTTGTGCTCAAGTCTTACTGCAATTAATTTATAAAAAGTTGTACAACCAGAAAATCATTGATGAAAGAATCAGTTTGGCCTCTATATGATATTTGAAGACACGTTAGATTTTTAGATGGGATAGTTTAACAAAAACCGTTATGAGAAAAGGTGATTCAACAAAACTCTTCACCGAAAATATAATAACTTACTCCCCAACTTGTCCATTAAATTGATCGGTGAGTTCCTCAGGATTAGGGTTATACGCCTTGAACGAATCCTCCAAAGCATCTTTAGCCCTTTTCTTCATATAATCATCATAATAAGCTGTATCTCTATGAGAATTCGTAAATGTTAAAACAAAGGTGAGGACGATGAAGAGGAGAAGTAATGAATTATGAATAATATTCATCTCCATTTGCAGTGCTAGAAATTCTTTATCTTCTTATTTTTTATATCTTTTGTTTCTCACCTGCCTTCTTCTTCCCCCGACACCAACACGTGAATTACTGGAAACTTTGGACCAGTGATTCGGTTTTTCACTTCTAGGGGAGAAGCCGAGGTTTTATGAGAGATTTTCTTTATTCCACATTTTAGAAAAACAAAGGATTTCCTAGGGTTGCAGCACCTAAGAATTGTGTACAGATATATATCACATATACAGGTGGCGGGAAAAGTGGAGAACCACTTAAATTGGAGGATGACAGTTAATTATAGATTAACCAACATTTGTATCTTCTTAATTTGACTTTTAATTCCAAAATAGTCGATGGTTAATTCAAGGATGAAATTAAGCCCCGCAATAAATGTTGTAAAACCCAACATTTCTCATATGACGATAATTTTTCAACCTAAAATCGATCTATGACTTTTTTTATGAAAAATTTCTGGTTACTTCCCCAATGATATATTCATGTAATTTCATAGGCGTGATAGGTTGATTTAGGCGAACATAAATGCTATACCCAAATCATACTAAATTCTTTTATCCCTAAGATCAAATTTATCATAGTTTAGGGGTGATTTTATGCTTATAGGAAGGTATGGATGTAAAGTGAGATTTCATGTGTGAAAACTTACGTGTGGATTATCATAATAGGATAAAATTGGAAGAAAATCTTAAGTTAAAGATCGATTTGATTAGATTTGTGTTTAATGAGGGGCATTGCACTAATCAGTGTTGAGAAATATATAAAAGATATATCTTTGTAGTCTTTTATGACTCAAGTTATTAAGCCGCTAGGATATTCACAACTTGATGTCATAAAATCATCTGGGCCAAAGGCTCGTTATATGAGTCATATAGAAAGTGTAAAAAAAAAAAATTAGAAAATTTGGAGGAAAAAATAAAGAAACTAGTGTATGAAACAGAAAAAGCAACAATTGCCCCCAAACACTTATTTGAGAAGACTTGACTTTTGATGGGAGATTATTAACCTATTCAAGTCCCAGAGGTCTAAGCAATCAAAATATTTAGAGAGTCTTTGTTCATTGATGTGTTGACTTGTAATTAGTAGAGTCCACCTGAATTAGGAAGTGTGATAGTAATGAAAATTTCAAGTTTAGATTGCATATTGAAAAATATTAAAATGAATAAGTTTGGTGATGTGTGAATCATACAAGAGGTGAAAGGATATATTTGATCACAAAGGGTCGGGAATTGAAACAACTCGTAAATTCATGATTGCCTACGTATTTTTTCACACACATGTCGGTTTTACATTTGAATAGTGGATATTAGTTGATATTGTGATTTTAAAGCAGTTCTAGATTTAAATATTGTGATTTCAAATCTTGAAGTAAAAAATTATATTGTAACCAAATATTTTTACATACTTGTGTGTTTGTTATTATTTAGGTTATAGTTTTATTTGAAGACAAACAAATGTTTAAATTTGAAGGTGTTTGATAAGTATATTTTATACACTTACTCAGGACGTAAAATATCAATATTTGGTAATTCTTTTGAAAAAATATATCCTAAATTGTTGTATTTTATGTTATATAAGTAAAACTCAATGGTTGAATGAGAAATTAAAAGAAACAAAGGAAAAATCATGGAAAAGTGTTAACTTAAAAGTATGAGGACCAACTTGCAACAATTCATGGAGTGCGTGCAGTAATCTATTTTCACCAACCCGAGAGCCATTTGGCTCAACGGCGCATGCGGGGCTATTTTCACAAGACAAATCAGTAGTTTCCTTTTTCAATTCAAACTCAACTTGGCAAGAAGTTTTACGAGATTTTTTTACCTAAACTCGACCAATGTATATACCTAGATGTCTACTTCATAAAATCACCCCTCTTGTACACCATACGCACGCCTCAAATACATAAATTTTCTCAACTTTCATCCATCCGAACCATAAAAAATTCAAGTGCTATTTGTGAAGAACTGTGAAGAATTCATAGAGTTTTGCAAAAATTTAATCAAGGGAAGCTTCTACTTGGATTTGTGTTCAAGAATTTGAAGACTAAATCAAGATTCATCAAGAACCTTGCAAAGAAAGTCAATAAGTTCAAGATCTTTATTCTTTTATTCAATTTTATTGATTTCCAGGTGATGTACTCTCAAACAATGATTTATTTTATTTTATTTTATTTTATTTTATTTTTTTGTAATTTTGCTGTGCTAGGCTAACTTTCTAGATGCTAGGATGTAGATGAAGTCTTGTTACATTGTTTTGATATTTATTAATTAATTATTTTGATGTACAAATTTGTATTATTTTCATCGACTCTACAATTAATTAGTTACTAATTGAGATGATATATTGGACTTTGTTATTATCAATAGAAACAATAGGCTTTTAGCTAGAATAATACACATTGTAAAGTCCAATAGGGGATAGAAATATACATCTATACTTTACATAATCTCTATAGGTGTTCTAGAACTTTTAATGCATTTGTCATGTTCTCATTCTTTATCGAAAGGTAGGAAAGGTCATATGATAGAAATAGAATTGATAGCTATCGAGAGAGGTTCTCAATTAAACTTGTAACATTAATCAACAACTATTCACACATATTTGTCAAAATGGTTAATTGTATTGAAAATGAATTAACAAGAGGGATTCGAAATATTAGCATTGTTCTCACATATTTGATAAAAACTCATTCGATTTTACCTAATAGATAGTTTAATTCGCATATTAGAATAAATACACAAAAATTTATTTGTTATTTGATTAAAGTTTTTATTAATTTTAACTACTTGATTGTGATACCGTACACTTCGGGATTTCAAAGGGTCAAGCGTTTGGAGAGGAAAATAGAATGGAAAACCTTATTTGTGAAAGTTATATGCTTCTTCCGTTCAGCTGACAATCGGAGAATGTCGAAAAATTTAGGAAGATGAAATGGGATGGGCATAGGCTGGGTGAGTGGGTGGGATAGGGATGGGTAAGAAAAATAAAGTTTTAAAGATTTGAGATTGTAAGTAGTACGAATAAAAGATTTTGGTGTAATTTGAAAAATTAAAAAGCTTACAGCTACTATTGCAATTATTCTTTTTTAATTTTGGCAATTTTTACTATCTTTAACGGTTAAACAAACAAAATTGGACGGTATGGAGGGTTTTCACACAAAAATGTTGTATTTCGCACAAAATGTTTCAAATAGGGAGATTCTATTATTAATTCTTCTTTATTTAGAGGCTGTTTGGTAGCCATTTTCTTCTGCCGAAAATTAATTATTTGATCATTGCCACTCAATTGTCTGACAAATTGTACAATTGTTAAATTTTCTCTTTCCCTCATAATGCTCCACCCACCAACACTTTCCTTCTCTCACCTTCATCTTCGAAGCCGGTGAGAGAGATCCCAAAACGCTGGCCAAATATTTCAACAATCACCCTTTGCCTTCCCACACGTGAACGACGTCCCACAGCAACTGTCACTGATTCCCCTCAAGCGCTACTCTACAACTACGCTCGACGCAGTGCTGATGACCAACAATGGATGAAGAGGGAAAACAGGTACAAATATTGCCTTCTCATTTCCTTCTCCACTTCCCCTCGATTTTCTTCGCTTATGACAAACTCTTTCGCTTCGCAGCTAGGGGACTACGCTCAAGGACCTTCCTTTTCTGCAACGGGAACGGCACAGTAGTCAGCTTTGAAGTCCTACGCTGGCTGGAGCCTAGAAGCCACCCGAACCTTCATTGCAGTGTGCGAGACCGCCATTGCCAAGGGGCACCGGAGCGGACGATGTTTTACCAAACATGGTTGGGAAAGAGTCGCCTCACTCTTCAACTCAGTGACCGGCCATAACTAGACCCAGCAACAACTGCGAAATCATTGGGATTCAATGTGTTGAATATACAAGCATCTATCGGAGCTTGTAAACAGCGGCGGTATCGAGTATAATGATGCTACCGGTAGAATCATTGCATCTGAAAAATGGTGGCACCGAAAGATTAAGGTAATGGACTCCCAGTTTCTCAATAACCTGATTTTAGACAAGTGCGATTACGTGACCGCTTACTGCCTTTCCGGTGGTAAAATTGGTGTTGTTCACATTTGCATCATACAACATATTATCCCCATGGACTATAGCTTTAAACTGCCAACATTGAACAATGCATTTACATAAATTATTGTTCGACCTTTACTCATTTCAGTTTCAAGATAATTGTATTGCCTTTGGTGTTTCTGCTCTGAAATCACTCGCACAACCTCGTTGCTGAAACTTGACAATCTACTATTTCATAAATGTTGACTGTGCTGCTATGTTCATTTAGAGAAATCGACTCTAATCCAATGAGCGGTACCACATCAAATAATAAAAACCGCCCGCTGTATGTGAACATAGGAATAAGATATAATTTTGCATTGCAGCAGCTTTGTGATTGTTCGACCTTTACTCATTTCTGTTTCGAGTTTTGCTTGTTTTGCTTGCTCAAGTCGATGGTTGTGTCCTATGTGATTTATCTTCATGGTTTTTACCTGTGTTTGTTTACTGGGTTTACATTTCGGTAAAACCTTGTGCTAATAGTTATTGACGCCTACAACAATTACAAACCCCTCGTTTAAACTAATACGATGCGATTTGTTTCTGATATGCTAGAGAAATTATTTGACACTTCGAATATAGAGGTAGATATAGTCATGTGCATGAAATGAATTGCTCGTGTCATTCACTTCGTACCCAATATTATACCTCTGTAGCGGTTGTTTCTTTATTTTGATACATTTTGAATTACATTTCACAATGGTATTCTTATTGTCGAACCCGTGCTGTGCAGGAGAAACAAGGACTATAAAGACTTCAAAGACAAGAACGTCGGTGAGATTTCAGCTATTCGACAACAGCTACAACGGAGAAAAGTATGTTATGACTCCAACGAAGTTGTACAGAAGAGGATTCAGCCTATACGAGGATAGTGCACTCCAGGACACTAGGGATGCAATCCCAATCGACGGAGAGAGTGGCGGTTCGAGTGATGAGGCCAAACAGGCAGAGGTTGGTGATCGCGTGAACGTTTTGAGCACCACAATTGACGGTAAAAGTAAGTCTTCCAGCGGGCAGCGTAGGTGCATGAAGAAAAAGATGTCTGCTTGTGAATTGTCCTTCTTAGTGGACCGTGCCACCAGTGCGGCGGAGAAAGTGGCGACG